AATATGATTGATGATACCCTTCTCGGCAAGAAGGCTCCTTGAATTATTTTTGTTTTGTTTTAGGTTTGGTTTCTTCTTGTATATTTTTTCAAATAGTACCTCGTGAAAGCCTCCTATGGGCAGTCGATGCATCGCAGAGAAGCTATACATGTTAGCTGAATGCTAGCCAAAGCTAAACTGGTACACCTACTCAACGTGAATTCAATATAACAAAAAAATAAGAACAACGTAATATGAGCATGTTTGTGTGTCTTGTGATTGCGAACCTCTTCGATGACCTCGACATCGAGACGTCAAACTTGATTGCCAGAACAAGCACCACGAAGACAGGCTCCTCTGACCAGAAGGATAGCACCTTCCGCCGAGACGACGAACGCGATTGGTAATTGCCTTGGTAGCGCCGTCCACTCTTTCAGCGGTAGGATCCATTCAGCGCAAGATTCATCCCATAGAAGAGAAGAAGGAGAATACACGGCGAATATATATCTCTCATCACTTCCAAACGCCGTTATGCCTTAGATAATTGCAGCTTTACCAGTCCTCCTCCTTACCCCGGGGTAGCAGGCCAAGCTAGGAAAGAAGGCGAAACGAAAAAAAAAAAAAAGCACAGAAATCGATCTGCCCAATTCCGTAGCACGCTATGAAAGGAATAGCTCCGAAAAAATACAAAAAAACACCCCCAAAACATAAACGCAGTGGAAGGCATAGACGGCTTTGTGGCTTTGCGAATGCCGAGCACGTGCCGCTGTCCTGGGTCCAATTACTGATGCCCCGATTCTGCGGAACGAACACCCGAACTGGGAAGCGCAGATTTTTTCTTCTTTGTTGGAGACGCGATTCGCCGACTGTTGGCGAAGGATTCGTTTAGTATGTTCACCGCTCCGGTTAATATAGGCGAACACCGTGTAATCTGGGATTTTCGATATAATGTGACACATGACCTATGGGCTTGGGGAACAGTGCCTCAAGAGTGCTACGCGGTTTCGTTGGTTTTACGAAACAAGAATGGTTGGATAGCGTATTCAGGAAGGGTATGAAATGCTTCCTGTCATTGTTAAGAATTCTAAATGATCGAGGTGAGAACTGTCCATGGCGAATAAAGTAAGACCATATGCATTAGTTTGGCCATTCTGGAAGAAGGTACTCGCAAGTGGTAGGTAATCAGCGGGATTTTCATCGACCGTCTTTGTATATGAAAAGACGGGGATTGTGCGGTCGAGCTTGTAATAGTTAATCATGATGTTAAAAACCTGAAACTGCGGTTTGGGGGAAAAAATAGGAAACTTCGAAGTCGAAGAAAGGAGACGTCTCAAACAAGGCTAAATCATTTTGTTCTTAGCCCGAAACTGAGGCAGGAAAAGAGGATCACGGGCTAAGAACAAAATGGCTAACATCCACCAGCTCGCCTGCGCACTCACTACATTATCAAGGCTCAATCGTTTATTTTCGCTCGCTCATTATATACCTCAGATGGACACCAGCAAATCCTCTCCTGGGCATACACTCGTTCAAAATGCACCGATTGGACGTTTGGAAACGTGTGAATGAGTCACAGAACGACCTTTTAGAGATGTACATTTTTTAGGTTTAGAGTGAAAAAGAATTTATACAATTTTAACAAAACTACACCAAAGGAAGGAACCCAGAGAGCTGTGCCAGCGACGGTGGTATATACAAGAAATATTGTGGCTATCAGTCGCGGAAATAGTTATTGGAACGTGCGTCTTAGCGAGACAAAAACCAATATCCAACAAGATGTTAAAGCACCCTAGAAAGCCGTTTAGATATACGAAAAAAAAGAAAACAAAAAAACAGAAAAGCTCGCCTATCTATCTTATGTGCGCCCAGTGCTAGAGTACGCCTGCACCGTTTGGGATCCTTCTCAGCAAAACCACATTGTTGCTTTAGAAAGAATTCAGAGTTGTGCCGCTCGGTTCGTTTTGGTGCGGTACGGCCGCTTTGAGAGTGTAACCGACATGATAAAAGAACTGGGATGGTCTACATTGGCATTAAGACGAAGAAATTTGCGCTTGAAGTTTTTATACAACATTTATAACAATAAAACTGGCATTAATAGCTCATTTTACTTATTACCACCAAATTATATCTCAAAAAGAAAAGACCACATTCATAAAATTAGAGAATACCGCACCAGGACGGAATTGGGCAAAAATTCTTTTTTTGTTAAAACAATTAAGGAGTGGAATGCCTTGCCCAGTGCGATTGTGTGTGCCGCGAATTCAGAAATGTTTTTTCAGAGTTTATTCGCCCCCTGCGATAATGCCTGATGGCGCTGCAGGACAATGATGAATAAAGAATAAAGAATTTGCCTAGATAAAAAAAGAAAAAAGGTAATGTCTTGTTGCGGAGGAATATCTTACTCTCCACAGTGATGGGTTCGGATACTGTGCGACAACAAGCCGTATTGCGCGGATGGCGGTCACTCAATACAAACCGAACAGGGTAAATAGGGAAACTTTTTGTTTTTTTTAGTTGCTGCACAAGGGTAACTGGACGAGGTAATGACATTAGAGAAAAATCGTGATCGTTTTTTTAAGGTTTCAAGAAGGTCGTTTAAAAATGCGCTCCCGAAACTAATTTAATATTAGGAACGATCGCCGCATAACAAATGCGAATTTAAGCCAAACTTCCGCACGACCTCGTAATAAAGGTTTGTTTTGACGAGGCAACCCCCAGCGTGTTTGCTGGTTTCTCTCTTGTGCTATATTCGGACTCCTGATACGACCAACCGACCATTTTTTAAGAATCGTCTTGAATGCTAGCGTAACGTGCAATGAATGCCACGACGTCTGGTATAATACGGATGTCCATCTTGTGCGCATGAGGCTGTTTGAGATGGAACAAAAGGTTTGGTCGCTGCTCGAAAAACAAAAACAAAAATTGTGCATCGACGTTTTTGTTAGGACGCTCTGAAAGCCACTCATCACAACCTGCAGACGGACCTTGGCAAATGTCGAGGCCAAAATCATAGTCAGGCAACACGACAGCTTAAAAAACCGCCCGGGGGGGGGGGGGGGGGGGGGGAGGAGTAAAGTTCCGCGAGCATGTTATTATCGCATCCAAACAAATTGCTGTATTTGCCGATATAAAAGAAAACGAAAATATAATCACGAGGTTTTATCATAAGAGGCCACAGTCTGCGTTTTTTAAGCTGCCACTTCTTCTAAAACTTGTAGCACGGTTAGGCACAGACTAAAAGCGGGAAACTCACGGCACACTTTGTGTGGTTAGCTGAATGAGCCGGCGGACGAGCACGCACAAAAATGGCGAACGCCGTGATGCTGCACTTTCGGCCTTGCTTGATTTTCCCTTTTTATAACACCAGCTGCGTTCTAGAGCGATATATGGTGAATATAAAACCATTTGGAGCTCTTCTTTCACTACAGAGCAGGACGAATGAGCACGGGACAAAGGAGGGACAACTGCTGCGTCATTGTTCGGCTTAGACGTGCGCGTCAGTGAACGCTCTGCGTCGAACTAACGCCTTCTAAAAAAATAAAGGTCTGCGCGATTAATATTATGACGTAAGCTGTTCGGCCACGCCTCATGAGACGCCAGACGGCCGGCTCGCAAGCGACGAAAAGCCGGACACTGGGAGTGCGCCGTCCAGGGGCCCTAAAGAACTCGTCAAACACAAAATTGGAGCCCAGACTTCGCGGAGCGCGCAAATGAGACGCCTGTGACAAAAGCACCAAGTCATCGTCGTGATACTCTACTCGATCAACTTCAGACTCGACTTTGTGTTTGACGAGTTTAGATCACCTGAAGCTGTTGGGAGTTCTGAAAGGAAACGCAACCTTCAGTTTTCTCCTCTCCTTTCTGCGACCAGTCTTTACGGTGTGTTTTCGAGTGTGCGATTGTGAGGGACAGTGTATCATAAGCGTTGTGTGCCGGGGTATTGGGGACATTGTACCAAGGAACCAAAGGTTCACATTTTCCATTTTTCAAGGGACCGGCAAAGAAGCGACCAAGGACGGAACCAAAACCCGCAGAAACGCTCGCAATTTACAAGCTCTTTGAAGGTATGTTAAGCGGTTTTGCAGCTTTCTTATGTCTTTGAACTTTTATATTGGCACTGTAGCCCACAAAAACAGTGTAGTGCTGAAGCACTTCGCTATTCGCCGCACTCTAAAAAATGCGTGTTTGATATTTGCAGGATGCATAAGGGCTTAATTTCCAAGTGTTTTGAAACATTCTGTTGATTTTATTTAGCATGCGAGCTAGTTGAACCGAATACTGCGCTCTCTGTTTACCTTGTCTAAAAAGTGACACACACAGACACACACACGCACGCACGCACGCTCGCAGGCAGGCAGGCACGCACGCACGCATGGACGCGCGCACACACACACACACACACAAAAAAGCGTTTCTGTCGCCAGTTTTACTCTCTACTCGATATCCCCATAGTACTTCCGAAGCAACGCATTATCAAGTATTCGTATTTATTTCCATCGGCGCCAACTCACACTACTTTCATTAGAGGTAGACGCTAGTGCCGCTAGATATTTACATAAAAGAAAAAACAAAAACAGCCATTGAGACTGGTATAACTGAGATATCACACAAACGTTGATGACTTGGATATCTGAGAAGTTGTTGGCCTCTACACATAGCATCGGTTAAAGTTCTATAGGGCATTAATATTGCATATCGCAAACCAAATTGTAAAAAAAAAAGCTTGCTCTTAGGTTTTAACTTTTGCTTCTTATTTTGATAAAAATGAATAAAAATCTTTTTTTTTTTTTTTTTTTTTTTGAGGGCAGGGGCGGTTGATTTATTAGCGCAATTTACTTTTTTGTCCTTCATATTGTTCCTCGCGGGCATTTACGTACACCTTATATTACTCTGGTGGACATAACGCTTTTTGGTGCCGGCTTTTCGTTACAGTATAACGCTACAGATTTTCATTAAGTTGGGCCGACAAAAACCCATATTGTGTACAAAACAGCGCCAAAGTCCAGAGGCCGCTCGCTTACCGTTCGGTCGCCGAGATGTCGGACCTTGCAGGGCAGGAACACGGCTTTTCCGGCGCTTGTGGTCACGTTGCGCGACGTGCCGTTGTCGAAAAACGGCGACGGCTCGGGCGGGTCTGGTGCCCTCGGTGCCCTCGGGCCCGAAAACCTCGACCGGTGAGAGTAGTGCTTGGACCGGCTGCTGTGCGCCTCGGCAAACCCTGCAGTAAAAAGACGCGCAGAAAAAAAGAAAAAGAACGAAAAGTTAGTTGACATTTCTGGGATTGCACTGTTGTTGTTTGTTTTGTTTTTGTTGATTTTGGGAAGCTATTGAAGTGATTGGTCAAGTTTTGCTTTTTTTATTGTCTCGTTTGGCACGGAGACAAAGAGGCGAATGTCCTCCAGGGGTAGCGTTTCCCGGTACACTCCGGGACTTTATCTCGAACAAGTCATCGCAGTTTTTTTCTTTTTCTTCTTCTCGGTATGCCACCTCGCGACATTATTTCGCACTATTGGGGAGGTTTGCTAAATCGACACAACGTGGCACTGCTGCACACTGCGCGAAACTAATAACGCAAAAATGTATTTTGCGTTTTGTTTTTCTATTTTATTGTAGAAGGGAACTGGCGGATACCAGAAACACCGCTTAGGTTAGCAACCTAACAGGGCACTTACCACCATCCTTGGTGGTAAGTGCTGAGATCTAGTGTTGCCAGATGGTCCCACCAAAAACCGCCAAAGGCTGGGAGGTATAGCCCAAATATAGCCAAAGCCATAAAAATTATAGCCCGACATAGCCGAGACTAAAAACAATTATTTTTAAGCCTTATATATTCACAATTTCTCACTCATACAATACACGCTATAAACTCCGTCTCAACCCTCAGATGCACCGCCTTTTGTGTACGTTATGTTAGTTGTAAGTTTTTCAAAAATGCTTCGAATGAAAATCCGTACAAAACTGGCCCTTCCTTAGGTTTTCAGAAGTACAACACACACAAAGACAGTTTGATTGTGAAGCCCGGGAGATGTGATCATACGGTATAAGAACAAAATAGAGACGCAGAGCAGTCAGAACACTGGGTGTTTCAAAGCAGAGCACCAATATCTTAGGTCCTTACCAATATCCCACCCGGCTCTTTTTCTTTGTGAAGAATATTAGTGTCACTCATTCATGTTCACGTTATTTCTGACTGTGTTCTCTTTCTTGGGGTGGGCAGCGACTGGAAGGTAGTCATGTGTTTAGCTGTGAAACTGTCGACTTCTTATTTTTACAAACTTGGGTGCCTAAGGATTCTCACAATGGGCACCAAAGCAGCATTTGGAGAGTTCAGTCTGCGTCCGGGCAGAGCCATATGCGTCCGGGTTCAAGGCGCGCTACCGGCCCTGTGGTATTAGTGCAATCTGTTTGGTTTGCTCGACTCCGCTGTAGGGAGACTGCTTGAACTCTGCAAGCATTGCTTCACTACGCATTGTGAAAACCCCGAAGTTTGTAGAAGTTTGAAGCCTTTCTCCTTCTTCTCCCTCCTTTCAACTGGCCAAAAGAGAAAATTTTTTTTTTCGAAACTGATTAAAAGATTGAAAATTAACTAGCTTAATTTGAGGTTCTCAAAATTCCGAACTTTGAGGTTCTCAAAGTTCGGCGTCGAACCTGAGGTTCAACAAAACTTCGCTGCATTTTATAAATAGCCCAAAATAGCCACAAGGCCAACCACGAAATTTTGGCGCCAACTAGAAAAAACTGTAGCCCAATTTGGCTATATATAGCCAAATCTGGCAACACTGCTGAGATCTGCACGCAGCGGCGATTCACGATTGGTCGGTCATCGGGAAAATTTATTATCACATTCAGCCTAGGAAATTACGACTTTTGCCAATAAAAAAAAAAAAAAACGCAAAATCAAACTACATTGTTGTTGGCTAACATAATATGCCACACCGTGGGTTTCTTAAGATGACGGTTGCTGTAGGTACTGTTGACACGTTGCACACCCTGTGAGGCGCCATTAAATCTGCCGATAAGTTGGCATTTTCACCGTCTTGTTCTTATTCGCAATGGCCACATTTTAAGTGCGCTTGAAAGGATTTTAAAGAAAAGCGCAGTGAAACAAGCCATAAAACGCGTGTTTTTTTATTTATTTTTTTATTACTAAATAAGGTAAAACCCGTGTTCCTTTCATGTTTTTCTTTATATTTGCGAAAGCATCAGTTTCTGCAAACGTTTCAAGGATTGAAAAATAAATAGATTTTTATTAGTTCAACGAGTAATAAAATCAATAAAAGCGACACTTCAAGGACTCAAAAATATGCAAATTCCTATTTGCGTGACCGAGTAATAAAATCCATAAAAGCGCCATCGTGCACCAATAAAAAAATTATATTTGTTTTCAAAATTCTTTTAGATGTACGTTATAGGGCGAAGGGACACTATTCTTCGGTCTGACCCTTCGTTGTGTGCTTAGAATTCATAGATCGCAGCGCCGTAAAAACAAAACGCCAACTCTGTAAACGTGACTGCACCTCCCGCGCGTGAAGACACTCCGTTCCTGGGGTCCCAAAAACTGACGCAGCTTTTGGCTAGCCTTCGATGGCTGGCGTCGTTTGCTGCGGCCGGGCGTAGAGTTTTACTTGGGCATTCTTACACGGGACGCCCTCGACCCGGGTGTGGAAACCGAAAACAACTCTGTAACCAATTTTGGCAACCAGTCTTGAAGAAGGCCTGTCTCAGGCCGAAACGTCGACTCACTAAACGAGTTAAATGCTCGTTTATTTGCCAGTAGATTGTCCTTCATGCATTTTTGTCGTGGGTTAGTTTGATTTAAATTCAATTCACAGATTACGCGACTTTTCAGAATAATCAATCTCTACGTTGTTTATAAGCCTGTATTGTCCCCTGCAGCCTTTTGAAGGACTCCCGAGACATGGTCGTAAAGAGTGTTGGAGGAAGCAACCCATCTGATGGGTCTTGCACCTGAGGGCGTACACGAACCGATCTCTCCATAGAGCCCACGTGGAGGTCCCAGCTACCCCGGGGACACAACACGGACTCGATATTTGGTGAACGGATAAGAACGGACCGTCCGAGAAATACCCGACCAAAACAAAATCAATACCGTCGAGTCATATTTTGATAATGCGCTTGACTTGACGTTTTTTTTTCTTTTTTTGTTTTTTTACCTTTTTCTTTTGTATCCTCTGCGGCGACTGTAGTTCATAAAACATCAAAAATACAGGAATAAAAAAAAACTACAAATGAAAAGAAACCAAATCAAATGCGTCGGACGAAACCGACGAGATTTAGAGTGACCCGTTTGGGAGTAAACACACAAAACAAAATAAGTTTTGTGGGCGTTGGTTGTAATAACACTTTAAAAAAAAAAGCTCAATTTGAAGCTTCCGTGCTACGAATTCCTGCGGTAACGCGCGCGTACACACACACACACACATACACATCTACACACGCGCAGATGCACGCACACACACACACACACGCACACACACACACACACACACACACACACACACACACACACACACACACACACACCCACATACATATACCCGCGGCTTCCTTGGAACCAAAACGATCCAAACATTTGTCCAAACAGGTTTTGTAATTTCTCACGCAGTGAATTCGTTTTCCTTTCTGTTCGCGTTTAATCATCGCAGTTTTGGCGAATATATCTATCTATCTGTCTATCTATCTATCTATCTATCTATCTATATATATATATCTATATATATATATTGGCGCCTATGTAATACGTTTGGTTGAAGCTAGGGGGAGCTCTGGTCGTGCCTCCACGCGTAAACAGCCCGGGGGCCAGGGTATTGGCTGGTGTCTGCCATGTTGACGGTGCAGAGCTGGCTTTGTTGGCACACGTCGGAAATGCAGAAAAAAAGATAGAAGAGAGGAATGTAAGAAGAGACGAGGTCAAGAAGAAAATATTACGTCGTCTGCAAACATTGCCAACACAAATAGGGCCCTTGCGTGCAGCCGCAGGCGCGGATGGTCTTCAGAAGAGCAAATGTAAGAAGAGAAAATTGAGAAATAGAGAGAGAGAGAAAAAAAAAGAGTACCTAAGCAAGACTAAGGTATAGCTTCACCCTGGCGTGGCGAGGGAAACATAAGTCAGCCGAACACGGGAACTACGGGAGCGCAACTGTCGAGTGACGTCAGCATTGAAAGCGGAAGGGGATGCCATCGAAGAGCTCGAGTTCTTGACAGAAACTATACCGTCGATAGGTTTTACTCACAGCTATGTGCAAACCCACGGTCCTCAACCAACCAACGGCTCAAAAGATTACAACGTCCCCCAACCTTTTCTTGTTACTACCTTTTGATTTTTAAATTCATTCATGCCGTTACGTTTACCCCCCCCCCCCCCCCCGCCCAAAAAAAAATAAAAAAAAAAATAGTTTTTTATATGTATATGTATATTTTATTTTTGTCCGCAGCTTTCCTGTGGAGTTTGCTACGGTCCCGTGGGTACGAGATATTTCCTGCCTGCCAATCATATTTGCTTACGTTTATCTTATTCTCGGAGTGCGTCTTTTGCAAAATGGACAATGTAATATTAAGGCAGGAAACTTGGCTTCAAAATCTAGTTTTCGTTCCTTTTTTTTTATTTTTTATTTTTTTGCGATGAACTAAAGAATGTCTAAATCGGTAACCTCTTCTGTTTTCGGGGAGGAGGGAGGTTACAGGGACTCTTTCAAACACGATTTGACGTCGCGATTATTCTTCATTGAAGGTGACACTCGCGAGGCGAAGCGAAGCCCCGGCGCAAGAAAGAGAAAGGCGCCTCGCCTTATTAAGAAAAGTTTGCGTCCCCGGGCCAGAAAGCTTATTTTGGAAGCATCGCTTCTTGACGTGGCTCTGATGTCGGCGCGCTTGCGTAAATGCAATCGCTCAGTGGTGTTTTTGTTCGTTCGTGCGCTTTTGAAGGACCTCTTGTTTCTCTGGGTGCCTGCAAACACGAGTCAAACCTTGCGTCACGGTTGTATTGGTTGATTTGGGCCCAGCTCAAAACCACCTTAGACTCGAGCACTCTTGTTGTGTGTTTGGTCCGTGGGTCTTGATAGCACCCCACAAAGTTTGAATGTGGAGGGAATGTGGTTGCTAAGGCTTTCAACTAGATTAAAGAAGGCAATTTTTCGTATGACGAGATCAAATTCAAGGTTTAGCAAAATCCGCTTGCTCGGGCTGTTATATATCTTT